GAAGATCATTTTGAAAACTGACCGACTGCCAACACTACGCGATTTCCAAAAGCTGAATTAATAACACAGATACATTCACAAAGCAGATTATTACCTGAACTTCCCTAATCCTTACAGTGTGACGGCAGATCAGACTGGTAATAAAAATAACTGAATAAAGTGAAAGCTTCAACAAGACTGATCCTCCACATATAAAGTATTTAATTATATCATGTCGAAGAAAAAAAAAAGGACCATCACAAGTAAGATGTGTGTGTTCGTTCTTTAAATTTCAATTTGAAATAATTCAATTCAATGTTAAACAATGTCAATAAAGAATTAATGGCATTGTCTGCACACATCACAACTCTGGAACCTGTACAAATCATATGTTGGAAAAATACAACATTTATGAATAACCTTTTGGGCTTTGTTAAACACCCCAGTTTTATAAACTACTAAATTTTTGAAAACTGCCTCTATTTCCTTCATCAAGTGACAGGACAAGATGTAAAATCTTACTCAGTTGGGCCACTATAAAGCGTTAGTTTCTAGCTGTAAAAACGTTTTAATGAATCACTCTTTAAATTTCCATTTATTCATGAAATTTGCTCATGCATAATACAGTTGGCCCTGTGGGGCGCACTGCAATGACTGACAGTAATATTTAATCAGACAATAAATATCCTGCCCATGTAAAAATAAGCACAAGTCATAGCACCTGAAAACCAAAGTAACAATACTAGTAAAATGTAATCTATACTAGAAGACACAGTTTCCACAAGCAATCTTTGCGGATTTTTAATTCTGAATACTCCTACCTGAAATAAAATAAAACGTATTACACATACTAAATAAACTTTACCATTAAACACTGTCCACATAAGCTTAGCAACAAACTGTAAGCAACGTATAAACAAATGCATATCTCTTCAACAAAAGATTTATTCAACCTGCATTCTAATGTAAACACTTCCCACAGTTCTCACCAAGAAGCACGAACATACATTCTAAACTTTTTCCTTCTTTTCTACTAATTCAGTTGTCTATCAGAAACTAACTGTTGAGTGAACAGCACAAATTCAATATATTTTGAAAGCCTGTTAATCTGAACAATGTTCTTAAAAGCTGACATCAGTTACCTTACTCAGACAACTTTAGCTTCCAACGATATACATCACATGTTCTTAATGTCTTCTTCACATACTGTAAATTAACAGCAATATAATGCAATGCAAGTCAGCTCTGTCAAAGCATATGGGACTCCTAAACGCACGGTCATAGGACCAAAACCTGGTAAACATGCAGCCACTAATGTTGTTATTTTATACTACACAAAGAATTAGTAACACAAAGTTGTGTATCTGTCAAAAAATCTATCACCATACATCATCGCATAACCCTACCATATGCGCCACTAGTATCAATTCCACGGCAAAAGTTCATATATCTCTCAAGGTGGTATTACCAATGGAGGAAATCATAAAATATGATTTTAGGGTAGACCCCCAACTGCATAACATCTGTCAAACAGTTCATGAGTTTAATCACGCAGATAGACACAGTGCCAGACATGGTAAGCTCTGTATGTGTTATGTGTTGACTTCATTCACATCACACAAAAAGAAAACATATGAATTCAACTATTCCTCACACAATGGAACGCGACAAATCAAGTTGGTCCCAGGCATCAGAAAATATGACAAAAATACAAACAAGCAATGAACGATAATGAAGCAAAATCACTACATTGATAAACAGCATGCTGATTGAAAATGGTTATGTCAATAAACCTTTGCCAGATCTTAAATTTCACCTTCCAAAAATAGATTCATAGTGGCAGAGATGGCAACAGGAAATACGGCTAACTCAATGAAGTGATGGCCCTCCTTGTGAGACTAAATTGCATGGGAACAAAAGAGTTCATGAAAACTCTGCAGTTTACACAACACTGTTAAATAAACTAAAGAAAACATGGAATGTTTAATGAGGCTCAATCAAGTCATAGCCCTGAGAATCCTAAAAGGAGAGCCTCTTGTAGGGAATTATTTAAGACGTTTAATATTCTTCCACTACCCACTAAATTCTTGCTCCCACTATTATCATTTGTAGTGGATAAAATGGAAAAATTTCAAATAAATTCAAATATCCACAATATAAGAACAAGATACAGATACAAGATACAGACACAACCTTCATGTGCTGAATTCTAACCTCAGAAAATATCAAAAAGGAGCTTACTATACTGGAATTAAAATATTCAATAATCTTCCACCTACTATCAAAACCTTAAATCACGATATAAAAATGTTTACGCCAGCGTCAAAAGAGTATCTCCTATCTCACTGCTTCTAATCAGTAGAAGAATTTATGTCACCTAAAAAGTCTCAACTATTATAAATACATGTAAGTATAAATGGTGATGGTTTCTCATCATAATTATTTTGCTGTAATATTGTAGTTCCAAAAATCTGTGAATAGATGTTATAACTATGTTTTTATATCTGTACTTGAAACAAGTATTGCATTTGTGCTATGGCCTGTTCTACATCCTTGGCTTAGGCCTATGAAGGATCTATGGAATGTAAATAAATTCTATTCTATTCTATTCCTCATCCATATAAACTACAGCTGTCTGGGCAGGCAAAACATTAAGATTCAAGCATAATATGTATGACAGGGAAATATCTTAAACACATTAATTCAATGTATGTCATCATAATTATTTGTCCTGCTCTAGATGTGTGTATATATATATTTATATATTGCAGCCCACCACACCTAGACATTGCAACAGCAGCAAGAATTTCCACCAAGTTATAACAGTCATGCAATAAAGGACTAATTTTAGCAAGACGTTTAGCAGGAGATGGGTGTCTTCGGGATTGCAGCCTCCATCGTCATCCTGAACATCAGGGCGATGACAGAGGCAGCATGGGCCTCTGAAACGCTGATAGACTTCTACCAGGATACACGGTGCTACAATCCAGAAGATAGCCATCTTTGTACTCACCGCTGTGAAAACCTCAAATACTACTAAGATGTTTAGTACATATTAACAACTTCAGCAAGTCAAACAGTATCCTAATATCAATGCAACAAAACTAAAGGAAATCCAAATGGTGGAATGCTAATAGACTACTCTGAAACAGTGCTTATGATCCAAACAAAACAAGTGATAGCTACTAATGACAGCCATAGCGGTCAGCAAATCATGAAATGTTAGTGTTTCATTTTTAGTAGTACTGAGGTGTGTGAGTTCTTGTGCTTCATTTATACAATGAATTTGTAAAGCACAGGATAAGAAGACGAACTGCATGGAGCTCAGTCCCTCTTGAGAAGCTAAGAGCCACTCAGCTAGCCAAAAGATTCCATGACTTTCCACGAACCTAGAGGTTCATTACTGTGATCACAAGAGCCTGCATCTGGTCTGTATCCTTAACCAGATGAATCCCGTCCACATCCTTACTCTGCCATTTGTCATTGCTTAGGTCATGCCAAGCAATCTATATAAGAGCACGGCCCTGTGTAATACTTTGTAACAAGTTAGTTTTCACAGTGAGTGGTTGTTAGTTTCCCAACCAACCGCCAAACTTCAGGACCATGCCATGTCGGCTGTCTGAAACTATTTATTCAACATATTCACAGCCAGCCTCAATATCTGAAAGCCGTTTCCTCCACCTATGGCTTGAGGACATGCCCTAATATGCCCACAGACCCATTTAATACCATACTGTCTTGACAGCACACAACATAACTTCCATTAAATTCTTCAGTAATCATGATAAAGAGCATTCCGCTTCCTCTAGAAAGTTCACCACTTTGGTGATGGCTACTCTTTTCAGTAATCATGATAAAGAGTATTCCGCTTCCTCTAGACAGTTCACCACTTTGGTGATGGCTACTCTGAAATTCTGACTCAAAGCATACTCAAGGCACTGTTACTATTACAGAATTTCTTGGATTCTGTCCATCTCATATTCTAAAAATAATATATTTCAGAAACTGGATCTGTGTCGATCCTCAGGTGAAAACGAGGGAAGTCAATACTCAGATGCAACCCTTAGAAATAGCAAGCCTCAAACCTCAATTTTATGTTCAAAACCTGAATAGGAATTCCTAACATTTCATCTGAGAATGAAAGCAGATTCAGTTTCTGAAACACTTGTGTTATTTTCATAATACCAGATGCCAGAAAAAGTCCAAAAATTCAGAAATAGTAACTGCAATACACAAATAAAAGAACCTTTCAAAACTGAACATACCACAAATGTGTATATACACAAAAACCTCACAAACTAATAATAATGGCAATATTTTCCTCCAGTATTTATGAAACTGACATATTGCTCACTGAAATCCAGCCAATGCTATCTAAAACTTTCAATATAATGGTACTACCATCCAGGTTAATTTCAAAGGGTTTTCAGTTTAAAGAAGCATCAAAATACCTTATTAGTCCTAAGCTTTAATATTAAATAAATTAGGATTATATTCTACATCAGACATTAACAGTAAAGAATCATATGGGCAAATGAAAGAAGACAGCTGTCTTCCGAATTGATCTGCCATGTAGCCTGGTAGAAGTTCCTACCACACTACACTGTAGAACAACCCAAATGACAGCCCTGTTCATAACCACTGCCATGAGAATCTGAAATCACAAATAAAAGTTTACCATTGCTTCAAAAGCTGCAATGACTGTGTAACAATTATACAGAACAACACAAACACTCTGCCTTTCAGCACTGACCTCAAACATATTCATAGTGGCAGCACACAGAAATGCTGGCTTAAGTTGGAAACATACTCAGAAAACCCACGCACAAATTATCTACATGTTTTAACTTCAAATCAATTGAAGAGAATAAATTACATGACCAAAGGCCATGTAATGGAAACCTGAAGACAATGTCTACTACCAACAGTGTGTCAACAATATTCTTTCGTAACATTCTAAACAAAACCACAAACCAAGCACGATCCCTTAAAGCAAGTAAAATGTAAAACTTAGAACTCACCACCTCCTGAGGTCCAGCGGTTCTCAGTCATCCCCCCTGTTTTGCGCAATGCTCCATCTGTAATCTATATGAAAATATATTTTAAATAATTTACTGTGGTAATGAAGTTACACTGTGACTAAATCCAGGTCCAACCCAGTATATAAAAGGAAAATAAATGTTACTGCTCACATTAGGTCATTAAATAGAGAGTGATCTCTAAATAACATTAAAAGAACCTGGCAAAATGTCTACCAAACTAGCACAAACTGAATGCTGAGGTTAGGGTTGGCATTCCCTTCTTCACTATATGAAGGTAAATACATTACACTTAATGCAAACATCTTACGTCTCAAAAAGAAAAGGATAAACCACAGGAAAAACTGTCACCGCCAATAAAATTTAAAATGACAAGTAAATAATCCAAGGCATCACCCCAAGCATATAAGACAATCCCCTCTCTGCAAGAATACCTGAAGATGAAGTTTGTTTCGGACATTCATTGCTTCCTTCACTGCGAGATCTTGGTTTCGTCTCACATTTCAACGGTTATCTTCTTTATTAACACAACTAGTGAGATGCTATCCTAAACGATGCACTTCTATCATATTCTACGCTGCTTATATAGGGTATAATAACCCACATAATGCACACAATTTAAATTACAATAAAATATTACGGAGCTTGTCAATGTTCTCCCGAAGTTATGCACTCCTAAAATGTTACGCTGAACGATGTACCCACAGCAGCAAAACATACCTCTTTCTCGGATCCAGGGTATTTTTCAAAGTACAGGGATACTTTTTACGTGAATAAACACTACGTATTCAAGTATAAAAGCACATTATTTTAATAAAATACTTTCCACAAGAAAGGAGAAAAACTCATCTAGAAGATGGCGACCGCCCGTCAGTTGCCGATTTATGATCATTTTCTTGCATGGTCACATTTAAACCGAAAAAAACTGCACAAAACTTCATTTCTATCAATTTAATTCATATTCATAAACATTCGCCCTAATTATCTGTCATTTCGCTTGATTCAAATTACGGATCTTACATTAAAAAATACTTGCCATGCTTCCTACAAATACATCAAACTATACTCCAATTTGTTTCGCAGGTGACAATGACGTCATGTCATTTTACTTTCGGGTATTTTCGGACAATTTCGCGGTCAATTTGAGGAACTTTAAATTTTAGACTTTCAATTTATAACAGGTATACTAAAGAAAAATCTTAAGTACAAACAGGCATATTTACCTCAAAATGTGAAAATTAACTTGTTCCCCTTACAACCCCCAAAAAGTTGACATGAAATTTTATAGTTGAGGTAAAATTCATACAACCAACTCATTAAATTAATAGCAAAGTACTGCAGTAAATGATCTAGGGCAAAATTTAATTGAGAAAAGCATGTATTTCATTCATGATATTCTGACTGATTCACTTGTACAATGTGTACCGTCAGCTTTCGATGATAAACTGTGTTGAATGTTGGCAACTACCCAGCATTTCAACAAATAATGCAGTTGCCATTTCAGGGTGAGTATGCTCACCCTGAAGATGGTAGTCATCCTTCACAGGCTAAAGGAAACTGGGAATCTTCCTTGGCAGGAAGTCCACAAGCTTGATGTTGTACCTGTACAACACTCTGCTAACGTTACTAAAGGCCATACTGACGAAGGGAAAAAGGGTGACCAGGCAAGTATCTCTGGGGCAGGACAGACCATGGAAAAATCTGTCTCTCTTGCAAGATAAAATTGTGCAGGTGACAGAAAATAAAACAATGCTATGGTACAAACAGGTAAGAGGCAGAATATGGCTGAAACAATTGGTCCACTTGTATCCGATTGAGAGCTCAGTGTCTTCAAGTGAAAACTGATGTACTGTACTTCAAGGAAGACCACAAAGTTAGCTGTGAAGCATTGGGACCTCTGAGCCAAGGGTAGAGGAGCCAAAGCAGAAGGTAGGACCTGTCTAATTTCAAATTTTTGTGAATTATAGAGATGGGCAACAAATTTATTTTCCGTGGCGGTGATGAGGGGACTTTCACAGTCACATGCACATGTCAAACTGTTATACAGAATGTTGGTATTTAAATAATCTATAAAACTGTAAGTGAAGAAATAATTTTATTCCATTACTCAAAGTACGCAATGAAGACAAAGAAATTTCACGAAGACGGAAAGGGCAAGAGACTGGAACAAACTGCATAATGAAGAGCTTCAAAATTTGTACACTTAACAAAATTCTGTTAAGGTTATGAAATCAAGGATGGGTGGGGTATGTAGCATATATGGGAGATGATTTCATACAAATTATTGGTCATAAAGTGTGATGAGAGACCACACAGAAAAAGGAGCATGAAGACAAGAGATCAAATTTTTCTTGAACAAATGAAGTGTGAGATTATGAACTAGATTCATCCGACTCACAACAGGGACCAGTGGTGGATTCCTGTGAACATGGTTAATGAATAATTTCCAGTGTAATGACATAAAAGCAGGGAAATGAACCTGATAATGGCCACAATGGACAGAAACATGTTGTTCTAGTGAATGGGAGATAAAATAACCAAAGAGTGTTCAAACTGTGGCAATCCATTGAATAATGATTCAGTAAGAGATACAACTGATAAGCTGATAATTCTGAGCAACAACAGTAACACACTATTCTCAACCAACACATTTAATTTCTTAAAAAAAATGCGTATATAACAAATCAATAAAGTATAATAAAATGACAGAAACAATTATTATAAACATAGGAAACAAACAATACATCATCTAGATTTGTAAAAACATTCATCCCCTCCTGACATAAAAATTTTGTTTGGGGCAAGGGTTCCATGTCTCCGTTAATAATGAAAAAACGGGAGGGATTTCACAACAAATGGATAAGAATCCCAAATTCCTACAAAATGCCCAAACATATGCAAGGAAACAACACATACCACCTCTGCAGCTTATTTCCTCTTGAAATTTTCAGTTTTATAATCACTATGGCACTACTGGATCTTTATATTCAATGATTATGATGTGCCACCTTCTAATACTGTAATTAAATGGCATCACCAGTAACTCGGCTCATCAAGATATTCCCTACTTTTCACAAAATCCAAAGGTTCATTACTATGTTCACAAAAGCTCACCACAAACCTTATAATCTTCCTAAGCTATTCTATAAATAATTTCATATTTGCTTCTAATGGATACAATTAATGTTTTTAATTTTTTTTTCTCCAAACGTTCCTGAAGAAGGAGGCTGCAAGTACACCTAAAACTTTAATAACTTTTACAAAGCAGTAAAACTGACCATTCTCACAAGACGAAATAAAGTAAACTGGTGTACTGTCACATGTCAAAATATTTTAAATCCGTGGCGTAACAGCTCCAGAGAGCCAAAGATGAATAGCTTGACTGCTGGCCTCACGTTCACATGCCTAAGCAGAGATGAACGATCATCCAACCAGATATAGAGTGACGTGTGGTCAGCACGACGAACCCCCAGACATCGCTAGCTTTCCTGACCGGATTACGCTACTCATTGTATCTCCCCAATTTTCTCACGATGCTGGGTTGGCACCGGTCCCATACACTGGTCGAAAGCTCATGAGAAAATTTCCTCTCCCCCAAGACTCAAACCAGCGCGCATTCCGTATCGCCGGTCTGAAGCATGATGCCTCAGACCGCGCGGCTACGGCGTGGGACATGTCAAAATATACTGACCTTAAACGGTTACTGTTAAACAAATACAGAACTGAAAACATAGAAACTGTGTTTCTGTCCACCATAGGAACTTACATGAAATAAAGTTCAACAAAAACATTTCTTAAAATCTACAAAATGTTAAAAACTTAACTTAAAATCTCATACCACAGCTTTTATACCAAAGGCCACTACAATGATGTTACGTACATGACAGCAAACATAACATTCTTAAATATTAAGGGCAGCATTAGCACGGCTGCTTTTTAACATCATCAAGGTGAAGTTTGTTGTTCAAAAGATATGGAACAAATCCAAAATATCTGGAAAACACACAAATACAACTATTCCCAATACTGAATAAATAAGGGTGATTTCATTATGGGCAATCTTTTGCAAACTTCCTGCAGATTAGAACTTCCATTAACAATGATGCTTACTTTTTCCTTAATTTCATATTATAAAAAACTGGTACATATTTCATCAGAATCTGACACCACACCAATTATTTTTACCACCAAACACAATGCAAACTGCAGGAAATTAACAGTGAATTCTTTGAGCCTTGTGTAAAAGGCAAAGTATGCACGGTAACGTGCTTCATAAACCAGAAAATTTTTTCCTTAGGTTTGTACTTTGTATGCAATAGTAAACTGTTAAGCTGATGTCATTACAATAAATTGGTGAGTTAAGCAACCCATCCACGTACGAGTCTGACCTGCAAGTCTGGCTCGGCGAGCTTGACTCATGAGCTGAGCTCGGATATATTTCACTACACATGCATAGCAGACTCGGCTCGTGACACCCCACCCTCAAACGAGTTTGGCTCAATAGAACTCGAGTCGAGCCGGACTCGCAAGCCAGACTCGTATGTGGATGGGCCGCTTTAAATAGATGTAATACTGTAAACATGAGATTAACAACTATAATTCAGTTTTCAAAATTACTTTCAGGTAAATGAAGCTGTATTGTATTTGTTTTATGAAACAAAACACAGAATTAATTTTCAATTTCTTACAAATAAACCCAAATGGAGGACAGGCTACACAAAGTAAGACATTAACACTTGAAACCTTACCTTCAGTTAAAAGAGACTAAAAAAATATGGACACAGTTTTGCATCTTTACATGTTTTTTGCGTATCTCTGACATGTAAGATTAAATAAATCAACCACGAGGAGAATTAAACATGCCATTGTGTGCATTTCAGTTATTATTACTATTATTATATCCACACCACCCCGCAAGCATCTACTTCGATACTACAAAAGTTCTTCAAACGTATTTCTACAAAACTATGGCTCTCCTACTTTTATACCTGAATAGCCCAATATTTTGTAAATATGAATATACAAGATGGCAAATAGCACTTACTAAAGTCCAAAAAATGGGTATACCAAAAATACTTGGATGTGTGATAAAGAATAAACACTTATTACGTTTGGATCTATAGGGAAAGTAGCAGAAAAATAATGCTAGATATCTGATAACTGTGAGAACATTGCATCATATTCCTAGCCATATTATGGAGAAGGCTAACTTATTGATTGCAACGTCAGCTTCCAATAGAACCATACCTACTGACATTTAAGATTAAATAAATCAACCACAAAGGTTTAAATTCTGATACAGAATAAAAATCAGTTTAAATGCACTCAAAATGGCCAGTATTAGAGATACAGAACCAAAACACGTCCCTCCCAATCCTGACAGTGTTAAGAATGTCTCTTGCCAGGACAGAATATGAAGAAGATCAGAGAATGTAAGTACCTGGAGTTATAGATACATAAGAAGGAATCTCCTATAACTGAACGGAAATCTTCATCCAGTTTGTGTGCCTGGAGGCTCTCATTGTAGTAAGTGTTGATTAATTCTCTGAGAGACTTATGTTAACTGCAACTTAAATTCTGAGATTACAGGCTCCCACAGCGGTAAAGATGCCAACTGTTATCATCTGCATTGCGACAATGTTTAATCTTGTGGGAGGTTCCCAACGTTACAAAGAAACATTGGTAACCATGTCCCCACTTAATGGTACCTGCACCTTGTCATGGTGGTGGGGCTCAAGTACCTCAGTGACCCCAAGAGCTACTGGTACGGCCTCCCTAGCCAGATTGGTCGAGGGGGAGAGGTCAGACTAAGACAGATACACTGGTCCTCCAGGTTGGGGGTTGGTCGCAAGACTAACAACCTTTCGCCATAAAGAGGAAGACGTTTCGGAACCTCGATCAAAGCCTTGGACAGACGGACCTAACGGAGGACCGAATGGAAGAGGATAATTGAGGAGGCCATGGACCGAATAAGGACCGGAGAGCCATAGAAGAAGAAGATTGGTAACCACGTACAAGATTACACCACATCGCAACCTAGAAAACCACAGTTGAAACAACTAAGTTCTATTCTACC